CCATACAGGTGTTCCACAAGGTTCAGTTCTCTCACCTCTCTTCTATATTCTGTATGTTTCAGATATGCTTACAGCCTTCACATCCTGTTCAGACTTTTTAGTATGCTGCTGTAGTGGCTACCTGCTTGACCATGGTCACCTTAAACAAGGTTTTACAAATAACAGTCAATCAATTTCTTGGGTGGTGCAGACACTTGTAACTTAACACTCAATACACATAAAACCAACGTTATTCGATTTGGTCCGAGCAAAATGATATGCCGACCTTGCCAAAATCCTGATATCTTTAATGTTCATATGTGCCACTTCCCATAAATATACGAGTTTCACCTTTTACAGAAATCTGATATAAAAGGCTTACCTTGTAATAGCCAACTTCAAGGTCACATATCAACTCAACCTTTTGTGGCGCCTGACTGAATCCACTTCGGGTTGGAATCTACTTTTTGTTCTTTATCCTTTTATGGTCTTCATTCGTTCTTGCATTACCTCATTGGATATCTGCTTCTTCTTATTTTTTTGCCAAAGATTATCAAGCTAGAACGACATGCCATCTATCTGATGTTCAAAATCAAGCTACCCGGTCCAAAACCAGGGGTTGTATGGTCACACTACTCAACAATCTTCAGAAGCTTTGTACGAAATGTATCACATGTGCTTCCAGACTTACAGTATCATCCTTGCTGGTTTGCTAAACTCCTATAGTCTGCGTACTTAGAACGTGGTGGACAGAGCACAGATAGACCATTGTGTAGCTTTGTGCTTAATTGCAAATAAACAAACCTTTCCACTCATGATAGCAGCGCAATGATATTCTTGGCTCAGACAAACTATTTAAATAAAATGGATTAGGGTTTAAATTTATTTAATTTTAGGAAAAGAACACTAAAAAAGCTATAAACGACTTTTTTGTTATTTATTGTTATATATGTTATTTTCATTTTCAGTGATTTGAATATAGTGAAACATCTTAATTAATTAAATAAATGTTTTGTCATTATTAACATGGTATAGTTTCATTGTTACCTACAAACTCACTTTTCATATGTTCTGAAAGAAACTGCATCAGTTCATTCTGAATAGTAAAACAGTATTCCATCTGCCATGTCAGTGAATTGCTGCGTCATCGGATTGAACCTCCATTCGGGAGAAAAAAGTGTCGTTCTTCACTTCGCCGATTCTTTCCCAATCTCCTCTGAAAGTATGAGTTATTTTTACCACCCATTGAAAAACTTATTTCTAAAATTTTACTTGCTTTCTTATCTCGTGCTTCAAATTGTCGTCCACTGTTCTATGCTGCCTGCACTTAAATTGTTAAAAACCATACACTTGGTTATTATGCGCACTGGAACACTTAAAGTTATATTTCTTCCGCTTTACGACTTTTCAGTCACATAACCTTGGATCATGAAGGATGGTATGCAAAGTTATTTTTATTGGAAAAGAGCCAATATGTTTCAAATTTGGAAAATAGTATAATGTCGTGATTGGGAATGTTAATACTGACTTGGTCATGGCGGGGTATAAATATTTGCAAACATATGTTGTTTGTGTTGGCAGAATGGATCCTTTAGTTTTCAATATTGTATTCTATGATAAGCCTGTTTAATATGAACAGGGAAATCGTCCATATCAATAGAGTATCTATTACCAATAACAGTTTCATCACATCTTTTTTTTTCTTTCATGAAGTAATCGCATTGTTGCACTTTCAATAATATATTACAATTAGAAGAGCCAGGGGTCGCTGGACGTATGTGGCACAGTTGGAGTATAATTCCAAGGCTTGTGGTTCTGGAATTAATTCTCATTCTTTATAAATGCTGATGTTTTAACCCATACAGCCTTTAATTTCTGTTTATTTTATTTTGACTGCTTTCAAGAAAGATGTTTATTTCGAGATGTTTCTTCTTCTTTTTTTTTTTTCGTTGATCTGGTAGTGCTACTTTGTTACACTGTGGTGGTGCTTATTTCTGGTGTTCTAATTTCTGGGACACAAGAATTCCAAAACCAGAACTTATTAAAATCATTAATAAACATAGTGTGTAGAGTTTGGTTCAAGATAAACTTGACCCGTACAAGGTTTCGTCACAAACAAATTTGATCATCAGTTAGATTATAATGAGCAAGAAATAGTTCATTTGTAGTTCTTAGAAAAATTGTTGGCTAAAGTTTTTAAATTGTATGATAGAAATGGTGGATGATGAGGTTGCTGCTACATGTTTCCAAAACGTCATCACTGAAAATAGTCAACTGTCAGGGATACCCAACTTTGTTGGAAAGGAGGAAAGGGAGACAAAACTACTTAATTATAAGCTCAATCATTGGTCAATCTAAATTTTTATTAATAATAATGTTTAAGTGAAAAAAGTGGAGGGGCATGTGTCCCTTCTGCTCTATGTTTTAGGTGTTTATAGTAATGGTTGCTAACCGAACTCTTTTCCTTCATCATTTCCTTGAATTATTTTGTTGTTTTAAAAATTTAACTCAAAAGTTTTTTTCAGAACCATAGAACTTGAATTAAATACATTAGCTGTTTGCTGCTTACTCCGGCCTTTATTTTTCACGAACTCACAGCCTAAATGTTACATCAAGGATTGATCATCAGTGTTCTGTTTTTCATAAACTTCATGTATAATGTTTGGCTGTAGTGATCAATCACATAATACTATGGTTACATGTTTGATAATGAAGGATTTAGTGTTTCGTCACGTGAAGGACAAAGTTTAACTGTGCAGAAATTTTAATTACACATCTTGATCCAATCTAAAACTAACAGGTAATATTCAATCACGTAATAATTTAGCTTATGGTCACATATAAAAGTAACGAACCACATGTAGTGCCATATGAACGATACCTACACCATTCTGTCATTCACGGCTTCAACTTTCAAGTCTGACTGCGCATAAAAATTATTCTGCGATTTTTTCATCACACACGAATTTAGCCTACAATATTCACGGAGACCAATAGTAATTGGCTGTACCTAAAATTATAGTCTTGTGCCATACATGCACTTGAAAAAGTGTAGAATCGCGCTTGATATTGGTCATACTTTAATTTTAAGTAACTTTCAGGCTTTTAACGTGAGTACTCATATTCTTATTAAGTAATTTATTTGGACTATCATCACGGTTTTGAGTTTTTTTAATGCACAAGCTTTCAGCTCAGTTACTTAAGCCTTCTTTCTACAAGTGCGAGACGTTTAATAAACAATAGGATCTAACATGATTCTGTTGTTTATTCAACGTCTCGCACCTGTAGAAGGCTTATGTAATTGAGCCGAAAGCTTATGGATTAAAAGACGTAGTGAGTCCAAATAAAGTACTTAATAAAATACTTTAATTTTGTCTGTAAGGTTTTACCAGTGATGGATTTGAATAGTGTGGTACAGGACTGTACCATGCATTATATCCCCTATTAGTTAACTCGTCAGGGTTGTTTTTAATTTTTTATTGTACCTTAACTTAGTTGATTTAGTGTATCTCACAAGGGGTAGCAAACTGAATTGGTAGGAGAAACTATTAAAGGTTTTCCATATTTTTTGCCAGTTCAACACTTCCACTAAACACATTTGCCTTTGTGTTTTATATTGTGTTTAGTTTAGTGTGCATTGTTTATTTGAATTTAGCTACAGCAGTCTAAGAGTAGAGGGAAGGCAGCCAACTCTTGGGCTATTCTTTTACCAAAGAATAGTGGGCACATTATAACGCCCCCACGGCTGAACTAACTAGCATGTTTGGTGTGATGGGTTTTGCGAATCGAGCGCCCTAACCACTTGGCCATGCCGGGCTTTAGTGTGTAATAAAAGTTTGTTTTCAACTATGCATTTGTGTACCGTCTCTTTCTATGCAACGAACTTAATCAGAGTTTGGAGATAAACACAAAACATATAAATTGTTATTTATATATATATATATATATATATAAAGCATGTTCTATGAATAATTATGTTCTTCAGAATTATTGGCTTATTTTGAACCTATTTTTTATTTCTTTGTTAAATAAATATAAACTTAGTCTGTGTTGTTCTTACAAATAACGATAATTTTGGGCAAATACTCATTTTTCCCGTATTAAATTTTCAGTCATAGTTGGAGCCAAGCAACTGTAGCAAAGAACATAAGGGATTCGCTACAGATAAAAAAATTTACATATATTTTTCAGAATAACAAACTAGGACATATAAAAAGGGTTCACTGGCGATTATTTTCATATAACACAAAATATTGGTTTAATTGTAAAACAAAAAATAAGTCCTTAATCTTGCTAAGTCGAATTGCTAAATCGAAGATTTGTGTTTAATGCTCCAACTTACTTTAAGCTATGAACTAACATTGATATTGTTATAAAACTTTACATACCACGATTTTATTTGTATTGTTATGCTTATTTTATTGTTACACAAGTTTAAAAAAAATGATTACAGTCAAACTTAATCGGTCAAGGGTTATAAATTTGTCCTTATTAAGTTGTGTATCATCGAGTGTTGAGTTTTTCACTGTACATGTTTTTAACTTCTTAAAGTTTGACAAGGATATCGTACAGTTTCTAAAAACCTCCCGCTTGTAGACGTGTTTCACCAACCCGTACCTAGAGCGGTAGGATAACCACTTCGTGATAGGAAAACTAGTACATGGCTGTCAGGTTACTGAGCTTCTGACCCACTTAGCATAAGTGGCCTCTAGTGACAGTAAATCGCAATAATTGTATGTTACGTTTGAACCCAGAAAATATCTACAAAATTCAAAGATCCCCACATAAACAGATATGATTCCATTTTCTGGATAAAACATTTTAACGTTGTTAGAAAACTTTTTAACTTTGTGTATATAGAAATTAAAACAAAAACTTGAAAATAAAGTTTGATAGATAACAATAGAAGTTCTATATATGCGATTACATATTTATGCTGTAGAAGTATAAAATACAGCAAGAGTGCAAGAACTTAAAGTAATGAAAGGATTATTTTTGAAAAATGAATTTCTCAAGCTTACCCGTTTCAAGAAGTACGATACATAGAAAACTCAGTAGACAAGCACTCACAATATTTCTGCACACCAACAACATCTCTTGGTGTTCTGCCTCCTTCTATTCCCTTGAAGCTTACTCTTACTTCTGACCTTAGCTTAGCTGTTCTTGTCGTACATGTGTGCTCCTTCAAGAACGTGGTTTATCACGGCGCTTCAGCTGATTCCTTGAATAACAAATTTTTATGTTAAAATGAAGTAATGTCAACCAAACCACATCTACCCTTGTAAGCTGAACAGCTTAAAACTGTATTTCCCCTCCTTCTATTCAGCTTGTTATATTTTATACATATTACAGTGGGATAAATTTCTACGTGACATGGGGTAATCGCATCCAACATTTTAATCAGCCTAATCTCAAATATTCAATAAAAGTAATGATATTGGCCATCACGTTATAACGCCCCCACGGCTGAAGGGGCGAGCATGTTTATTTGGCGAGAGATTTCGATCCCGGAACTGACAGGTTAGTTGAGTGCCCTAACCATCAGACCATGCTAGGCTCAATATATAAGTAAAAATCGTACCTGATTTCAGATATAAAACAAGAATTATATTCATGTAATAATTAAACTATAAATATGTGTGGTCGCCAGTAATTTCTTAGGAAGGATGTCGTTTTCTTAAGGTTATTTGTTTTTGGTCACAGTGCATCTTTCTTTGATGTTTGTGCAAGTTATGACAAAAACTCGATGATGAACAAGTTATGTTGATATACATATTTGTGCAAGCTTTAAAAATAAAATGGATACTATTTATTAAATAGAAGTTTATAGCAATTATATGCAAGTAAATCATTTTTTGATAATTATATGTATATAAATCATTTTTTAAATAACTATTTTTCGTGTTATTACACCTGAAAAAAATTTTGTGGACCCATGGTAAACACTATTGCTGTAATGGCTTGGATGACTGTGCAATGTATAGGATTTGAATATTCAGTGAACAGACATGATCTCACCAGATGGTGAAGTAATTCTTTGATGTTTCAATAATGCTAGTGCAGGTTCTGTTGCCTGTAAACAGTTCCTTCATTGTCATATCTTCAAGAAAATATAGCAAACAGCTTGCATACACAATTAGAAGTTTAATGTCATCCTGTACCTGTGAAAAAACCATTCCAGTTTCACTATCATTTGTGTCAATATCCAGGAAGACTAGAGAGTCCTGAAAAGGATAAACCAACACTTGTGCATTGCACAGTGTTCACATAAAGTATGTATCAACATTATCAATGCAGACAGTTTTACAGCTATCTTGGAGAAATTGACTCTAAACTGTTGAAAAATGATGCAACACTTACAAAGTTGCAGACTTTTCATAAGGCTTCAGGCTGGAACCAGCCTTTGATCAATGTGATCTTTGCAGAATTAAGGTATACTCTGTTAACTGCCTACTTTGTAACAGAAAAAGTCCTCTACCATGCATATAAGTTCACACTTTCCTGTATTCAACTTTAGTCTACTAGATCCACACTTTCCTGGTTTCAACTTCAAGTCTGTGTCTTTGATGTTCTAGGATATCATTCTAAGGTTTTCAGTTGCAGCCTGAAACATATGTCTCCCATTACAGTCCTCTAAGTGTAAGTTCCCACAGCGTTTTCAAATGATAGAATATATAGCATGATGCAGAAGGCATAGAATCGTTATTCCTAACTACTGCATGCAGTCTTAGGTCTATTTCATTATCCAGATATAATGTACTGAACCAACAGATGCCTTTCGACACACACAAATATTTGTTCATATGTGGTAGAGGAGAACAATGAACAATCATCGTGTTCATTTATCTAAATTCCACAGAGAATCTTGGCATTTCTTCCTTCTTTCCGATAAACACCACTAGAGACGACGGTTTACAATCAATTTACACCTTTTAACACATCCAGAAATTTGTTCATACGTGGTAGAAGGAAGTCATCTATGAGCATTCCCACATGAATCTACCTGAAGTATACACAATCTTGACATTCCTTCTTTCTTTCTGAAAATCGCCACTAGAAATGCTCCACTATCCACAAGTTTTATCATATATTCCTTTAATACCTCCTCAATTTCAGTACTGGTAATATTCCTGGTACTCTAAAGAAACCTGCACAGTGGTTGTTTTCTTGACATTTGCTACTATTTCTATGTTATGATGTGAAATGTTGTCTGATGTAACATATTACCTGGTCCGACAAACACACTGCATCAATTTTTTTTAGCAAGTCTGAATTCACAATGTTAGCACAATCTTCAACTATATAGACTACAGATACTCTGAAAGTTACTCATTCTTGACAATGACAAAATCCAGTGGCTGTTGTTCTAGCTTCTTTGTTTCTTTGCACCACTTTAACCTTTTGTCTGAAAAGTGTATTCTGATTTTATATATCAACTAATTTTATCCCTATTAAGACTGGTGAGCAGTTTTCCATATTCGAATGCATACTTGCATTTCAAATTTCAGTAAAATAATATTCTAGCCTTATTTAAACTATTTGTTTACTAAAATATTTATGAACTGGTATGAACAAAAAGCTACAAAGATATCAAAACCCAGTTTTTAGCATTATAAGCCTTCAAACTTACACTAAGCCATTGGGTAGCTGTGATATTGCAACATGTATTTATTGTAACTAGATCTACTTCTGTTAGAAGAGTAAATAAAACCAAAATTAAGAGTAACAAATATTTCTACTTCCTGCTTTTGAAGTTCATATGTCATGCTGTGTTGTAGCCTACAGAGTGCATAATTATTCTGTAATTCATGGCATGGGCACATTTTACTGGCGTCACTACACTACATATTGCAACGTTGAGCATCTTTTATGTGACACCATTTTAATGTTTACTGACTGACTGACAGACCACACAATACTATATAATGGTGCAAGTGGTTAAAATGGGTGACTCTTATAGACGGCTCTAGGCCCTTTTCGGGGAAATTGGGAAAGAAATTGTTTTAAAAATACATTTCGCCCTTGACTTTTGTGCAGGTCCATCCGGTATCACCTGTAAACAATGCAATTATGTATTTCTTTTAGCCTGTTTTGAAGACACAACAATAAGTTGAAACTTATGGCCCAAAACGATTGGATAGAAAATATTTTTGATTATCTATGTAAATGTAAAATAAATATAGTGGAGTAAGCAGTAATTTATGGTTTCAGAAATAATGACTTGTGGAAGTTCCCATATGGGTGAGCAAAATATTCTAATATAAAGTTTACAGTACTAGAGAATAAACGACAAACGTGGTAATTTGTTTATAGTTTATTTTTTCGTTCTTATAGTTCGTGCTAATCTTTTTGTGTTATATTATGTCTACTTGAATGCTACAGGAACATCATTCTATGAGAAGACAAAAGGTAAATTTGTTTAGAGCTAATGAGTATAATAACCTAGGAGTTTAGTGATAGCAAACTATTCAGGTGATACAAAACCTATTTGATTGTATATATTAGTAAGATTATTGTTACTTAAATTACATATAAACGGACAATAGCTCCTTAATTTTTGAAAACAAACGATAAATATTAGAGATATATTGAGCTCGATCAAAAACTTAGTTGAAAAAAATCACCTATGTCAGTTTAGGCCCAGTATAGAAGTACGAATTGTGTTTCTACCAGTCAAGCTTTTACTGTTCATCAGTGTTTAATATTATTTTCATAGTTACATAACTACTGTAGGGGTAAAGATATATAACAAATATGAATAACATTGACCTTAATCTTCCCATTCCAAGTAATAGCTTGCTTGAAATGATTAAGTAGATGGTTGAAATATTCCTTCACTATCTTATATTGATGAGTTCATCTATTTCATCTTACTACTTCCTACGATAACTAAATTATGATACCTGCTTTCGTCTTTTATTTTACTGTGTAGCAGAGGAGACTCATGTCCTCCTCTGAAGTTTCAGAGATCAATACTTTCTAATTAAGTCTCCAGCAAAATACTGCAGTAGGTAGGGCAGCACTTGCCAGGTATGTCACCAGAGGGCGACACACGTGTGTCGACCTCAGGCAATGGGGAAAGAGTAGAGATAATGACGTCATAGATATTAGAGACGATGGCGACATAGTTCTGTGAAGTGTCGCCAGAGAACGGTTGCTACGACAGGCAAAAGAAGGAGAAAGCATTGCTGAATGTGACATCATAGTTCAACAAAGTGGAACCACAGAGCACTGGTAACATGACAGGCGAAAGTTGTCATGATATTGGAAGTTGTCCAGAAAACATGTTGCTAGTTCCACAAAGTGGAATCAGATGGCACATTCATATGATGTAACATTATAATAACAGTCTTAAAACTAGTAATTTAATCTAATTTTATAATCATATGTTTACAGTTTTGCTTTTTAACTTACAAAGTTTGGCAGTCCCATAGGGCTGCATGCAGGTCTCAACTTGTGTTTTTCTTTTCATTTATATATTTATTTGCATTAAGTGTGTTTTACAAAGATGGGCAAGGTTATTAAGGATAGTGTTTGTATAGGCAGAGAATAATGAGCTCATTGTCACAACATGTGATGAACATCTACATTTCATGTTTACCTTTATAATTCACTAGAGTTTAAGGGATCTATGTAAATTACAATTGCTGTTGTTACCTCTTTGCCTAGAGCTTGTTTATTACTAACTGCATATAGTCTACATGTTTGCTTGATCTGTTTCAGTCTATTCCTGACACGAGTCACGTGTTTAATATTCAAGACTAATGACCAGCTCAATAAACTTTGGTTTTAGAAAATATGTAGGTAGGATGAAAAGTTTAGAAAGCATTTGACCTTTTGTGTTTCCTAAAACAGATAACATTTCCACTTCGATGTAAAACACTCTATCTAACTTACATCAGGTCAGAAAATTTAATGAAAACATAAGTTGAGCAAGTCAATAATAATACATTGTTGCTATTTGTGTATTTGCATTCAAAAATAGTAGTTTATAAATTTGATGTTCACCATACTTTAACTTAACTAAAGCTTTTGTATGTCACTAAAATTTAAAGTTAGTAAACATAGTTCTTTCACTTTACATAGTAATAAAAAACACTAAATGTGTATTCATGATATTCTATTTCTCAATATTTGATGGGACATTTCAATTAGTGTACAATTCTTGTATACTTTCTACTCTATACTGTGCCCGACA